TAACATAAAACAGTAATTACCCTTAACAAGCAATCACCACCACAAGCATTGTTTTTCTCAGGTTCCTTTCCCTTAAAAGAAAGAGAAGGAATGCATTCAGTTGGAAGACAATACGAGGCAAACCAAATTAAGGACAGAAATAAAAACAAGCAGGAGTGACGCTGAACCTCTTCCAAGTGGGTCAATACAACTGCATGAAAGTTGAAACGGAGGTGGAAATGCCTTTCTCTGAGCAGGGGCGGGGTGGGCTGGGTCCCCCAACAAGGCTAAGTGGAAGAAATTAAAGCACCACTCACTGTGCACCTGCAAGCGAGGTGGAAGGAAATGAGCCTCAGAGGAGCCCCCTTCCAAAGCATAACAAGGCGAGATCATTAGGAAAAGGCAATTAGAGGCAGTGTGTTTGCAGGAAAGCACTCCCCAAATACCTGACTCCTCTTCTCTGGAGTTCCAAGTGATGCCAGGCTTATCCTGTGAATTGCAGAAGTTGCAGCCGTGGCAGGTGGGCATCTCATGCCCACTCCCGTACCTGCAGCGACTCCAGACACTTGCCTGGCCACAGATGTCTGTGACTCAAGAAGGGCCAAAAACAAAGGAGGTGCCCAACTAGCCAATGGCGTGACCAGAGCGTTCCTGGTTAAAGTAGGACGAGCAAAGTTCTGCATCCTCTGTTTTCTAACCCACAGTACTAAGTGACTTTTTGCCTTGAAGAAATATTGTGAAACTCACCATGAAATGACCTGAAAGGACTGGAACTCAGAATCTGGAAGGCTTATATATCCAACAGGACTAAAAATTTCTTCTGTGTGTCTTACAGTATTACTAAGGATGTGGCTTCTTGTCTGTGAAGTTTCAGACATGCCAGACATTCAGCTCAACTGAAAACAGTGAGTCCCTGTATGTTGACTGAATTCTGTGAGTCTAGAGCTGGACCACTCAAGGCAACTGTATGCTGAGGTGCTAAATGCAATCGACTGAAATTTCAAAACTAGTATCAGTCATCATCCTGATGGGAGAAAAAAATCTGAATCTACTTGGACTTGCTTACATTTATCTTATTCAGATTCAATATTGTTTTTATTTTGAATTATGCGGATGTAGATGGGGTGGGGGAGGGGGAAAGCACCATAATCTCCATACTCCAAAACCTAGAAGTCTTAACATCTTAATTGGAATTTTAGATTTAAAGAGACTTAAAAGGCATGACAATCAAATAAAATGCAATACACGGTCATTTGCTTGGATTCTGGTTAAAAAAATTTTTTTTAATGCTAAAGACTTATAGGACTAAGTATTTGGGAAATTTGATTATGGGCTGATAATAAATGATATTTAGGGACTATTGTTACTTCTGTTGGGCATCATAATAGTATTGCATTTAATGGGGCAGCTTCTTCATTTCTTGGAGGTGGATGCTAAAGTAGTTAGGGGTAGAGTGCCATGACGTCTAAAATTTATTTTCAAATGCTTCAGCAAAAAATAATATGTAAATTTATACAGATGAAGTAAATAGGAAAAAATGTTAATAATTATTCAAATCAGATGGGGCTCTATGGATGTTAATTACAATATCCTTTTTTTTTCTGTATGTGAAAACTTTCAGAATTTAAGGTTTAAAATTATATCAGGTAAAAAACATCTATGACCCTGTAGTTTCACGGCCCTTGTCCTACTGTCTTGCTATATTAGAACACAGTCCATCTAAGTAGATAATTTCTTCCTCCTGAAAATATTCTCTCATCAAGCCTTCCCACCTCCATACCTTTGTGTATTATATTTCCTCAACCTGGTATTTCCTCTGTCCAGTCATCACCTCTCTGGTGAAAGCTGACACTCTTTTAGGTCAATCTCAAATGCCACCTCCTCTACAAGACTTTCCTAACCTCCTCCCCAAAGGGGGAGGTCATGCACCTCCCCTCTTTTGACTCCCCATGACACAATGCAGCTCTCCTCACACTTACCACCTTCTACCCCAACGGGGTAAAAACTGCAGCTGACATTTACTGAGCGCTTCCCACGTGTGGGGCCCTGGTCCCTCGCAGGGGTTCTTGCCTTCACTCATTTCGTGCCTCCCCCACTGAGGTGGGCACTGCCATTACCCTCTCTTCACTGGTGAAGAAACAGGCTTTGAGAGGTCAGATGACTTGCCCAATCACAAGGGTCGTAAATGGCAGTACCAGGATTCATGCAAACATAGCCCTTCCACTTCCAATCTCTTTAGCACTAGTGTGCGTGTCATTTGCACGGTGGCCTGATCCCTTACTTAAATGTAGTAAGGTGTCTCCTCCCTTACTACATTTTAACAATCTAAAGGCAGGCAGAGCATCTTGTTCATTTATTCACTCCATCAATAACTGTTGAAAAGCCACTATTATCAGAAAACAACTGTCCAATGTGATGGAGTAAAGTGGTGAGTGAAAAGGGAAGTTTATGACCTAGGTAAAAATTAAGGAAATCTGAACAAACTATGGACTTTAGTTAATAATAATGTATCAGTATTGGTCCTTTAACTGTAACAAATGTACCATATTATCATAAGACATTAATAATAGGGGAAAACAGGGTGAGAGTTTATGAGCACTCTGGACTATCTTCTCAATCTTTCTGTAAATCTAAAACTGTTCTTTAAAAAAAAAGTCTATTTTAAAAAAGGAAAAAAGTGTGACTATGAGTCAGTTTTCCTGACTGGCTCATAAACTACCTGTAACACCAATTCCAAAGAAGAGTGGCCCAGTCATTTTAGCAAAAGGCATGGCAATGAAATGTTTGAACTCGGCCCATTTGGGGAATGAATTTGAACCAGGCTCTCCAGCTGAATGTGTAGCACATGTTTTTTAAACCTAATCTCATGCACGTATATCCTTCCCCTCAGGCAACACTAAGAAGCTTCGGGCTCCAGGTTATCCTGTTTAATTCATCATGCTTTAATCAACACATCTCAGAAGGAAATTACCACATCTCCACTTCTCTAAGTCAACTCAAGTAAGTCTCAGAAAGACTCTATGAAGTTCAATTTTTTTTTTTAAGTGTTGGGGTTTTTTTTTTCCCTTAAAAAAAAATCACAGAGTTCCAAGTCCCAAGCTCTACAGCCATCTCAAACCCAGAGCTTTAGGCATCTACACGTTCACATACTCAACCACCCTATGTTTGACTCTTCCCTAAAGAAAGGAACTCTGCCTTCCAGATACCGTGCGGGGACTTCTCTCCACTTTAATAAATGACTCTGTCCACTGCATCTGTGAGATCAGCTACACTTCCACACATAAAAACCCTTCTGTGTAGAGTTAGCCTAATAAATCACCATGAGTAACAGTAACTCTTTTTTTAGATCGAACTCCTGGAAAACTACAAGATGAGCCAGGAAGGACACAGACCGTCACAGAAATGTAAATACTTAACAGACACTATTTGATAATGTTAGCCAGGATAATAAGTAACAGCACTGAGAATAATTCACTGCTTGCGGTGCATTTTGAAAGTTAGTCTCATAAAAGTACTGTGATACGGGCAGTGAAGATACCATTGTCATTTTATAGATGAGGAAAACTGAGGCTTACAACTGAAGTCAGAACTCATTCAAACACACCACTGCGTGACTTTGTGCCACTGCGGACCCTTCAAGGCCTGGCTCAAAGCCAGCTGCGTTTTTGCTCTCTCCAGTCACACAGACAGGACTCCCCTCCATTTCTGGAGGTGCTCTTTTTCTGTAGGCCTTGTGTCTGTTCCTGTCTCCAATCTCCTGAGAAGAATTATAGGAAGCAACTCAGGAGGAGAGCATGGCTGCCACACGTCAATACAACGCCTCACACAGCGGGGGCTCCCCAACCCAAGGGCCCAGGACCGCACGAATGATGCTGCTCTGCAAAGCCTGCTCACAGGCAAAAGCCGTGAAACAAAACAGACCCTGTCCTGGGGCTCAAAAACTAACGTAAAGTTCAAGACGACTCTTTCCCCCTGAACTTAAAGCAACATAAACCATGTTTAAGCTTTACAACATAAATAGAAAAGAGAGAGTTTTGTTTTCCCCATGAGTCCTCAGCTAGGCCTCCAACTAGGGGACCAAAAACATTCAGGGAACATGCCACAGGTCTTGGTTTTCATCCAGATTCCAGAAAAAGGGGAGAGGAAAATGAGTTTCACCATCAATACAGCTTGAGTTCCTTTTATAGGAACCGCCTTCTCCAAAATCACACCTAAAATCAGCTTGTCCGTATTCCTCCTTCCATAGACTTGGTGGCCAGGTTGACCATTCTGTTACTAGAACACTGGATTCTCAGAATCTAAGCCAGATGAAAAGTCAAATATTTTTAAAATATCAAATTATTAAAAAAACAAATTTTTCTCTGCTCCCTGGTATGAAATATAAAGCTCCTGACTTCACACAGAGAGTGACTGATTCAGAGTTCACTGCTCCTGCCCTGAAAGGAAACCAACGGTTTCCAGTGCACCAGGACACCGCAGAAGTTGTTGAGAGAAGCAGTTTACTGAATGGTACTTCTGTGTCTTAAAAGTTTTAATATGTCCAACAGTGGAAAAGTAAAACCATTTGGATCAAAGAGGCTAAAAATCAATGGTTGCTTTGTTTGTTTTTAACCAGAATAACCAAAACTGAATATAGTTCACCAAGGTTTTAAATTTCAGTCTCACTGTATTTTTTCTCCCATGTCCAACTATACAAGAGACTTTTTTAAAAATAATAAAATGTTCAATTCTACCATCGGTTACACATGTGCTTTGAATCTGTCAGGAATGAAAGACGGATTGTGTGGGGCTATCCAAACCCTTCCTTGTGTATCCAGTGGCATATGTTGCAGGACTGCTCCTCTGCAATCATGAGAAAAGTGATCTCAAAATACCAGAGGGAACTTAAGAGAGGGGTGGGTGTGTGTATACATGCATGTGTGCTCATCTGCAGTGGGTCTGCGGGTGGGGTTAGGGTCGGGGAGGGCAAGCAACAGAGAGCTGGAACTCCCAAGTGTCCTAAGATCTAGGATTCCACTCACCGCTCCACTTTTCCACTCTATTCTTTGCTCCAGGAAGCTGACCCATTTAACAACAGGCTCCCTCAAAGCAATCCTGAGGAAAAAGAACAAAGCTGGAGGCTTAACCCTCCCAGACTTCAGACAATACTACAGAATTTCAGTAATCAAAACGGTCTGGTATTGGCACAAAAACAGATATATAGATCAACGAAACAGAATGCAGAGCCCAGAAATAAACCCATATACCTATGGTCAATTAATCTTTGACAAAGGAAGCAAGAATATACAATGAAGAAAAGACAGTCTCTTCAGCAAGCAGTGTTGGGAAAGCTGGACAGCCACATGTAAATCAATGCAATCAGAACATTCTCTCAGATCTAACACAAAAATAAACTCAAAATGGTTTAAAGATCTAAATATAAGACACGACACCATGAAACTCCTAGAAGAGAATATAGACAAAACATTTTCAGACATAAATTGTAGCAGTATTTTTTTAGATCAGTCTCCCAAGGCAAAATAAATAAAAGCAAAAATAAACAAATGGAATCTAATCAAAAGCTTTTGCACTGCAAAGGAAACCACCAACAAAACAAAAAAAAAGACAACCTGCAGACTCAGAGAAAATATTTACAATGTGACCAACAAGAAGTTAACATCCAAACTATGCAAACACATAATACAACTCAATATCAAAGAAACAAACAATCCAATCAAAAAATGAGCAGAAGACCTAAATAGACATTTCTCCAAAGAAGACATACAGATGGCCAAGAGACACACAAAAAGATGCTCAACACCATTAATTATCGGAGAAGTGCAAATCAAACCCACAATGAGGTATTATCACTTTGCACCAGTCAGAATGGCTATCATCACAAATAATCAATGCTGCAGAGGCTGTGGAGAAAAGGGAGCCCTCCTACACTGCTGGTGGGAATGTAAACTGGTGTGGCCACTATGGAGAACAGTATGGCGGTTTTTTTAAAAACTGAAAATAGAGCTACCCTATGATCCAGCAATCCCACTCCTGGGTATACATCTGGAAAAGCCTAAAACCCTAATCAGAAAAGATACATACACCCCAATGTTCATCCAGCACTATCTGCAACAGCCAAGACATGGAAACAATCCAAGTGTCCATCAATAGATAATTGACTTAAGAAAATGTGATATATATACATATATACAAACATAGAATGGAATATTACTCAGCCATAAAAAGAATATTGCCAGTTGTAGTAACATGGGTGGACCTAAAGAATACTATACTAAGTCAGAGAAAGACAAATATTATATGATATCACTTATACATGGTATCTAAAAAATAATACAAATGAATCCATTTACAAAACAGAAACAGACTCACAGACATAGAAAACAAACTCATGGTTACCAAAGGAGAAAGGGGAGTGGGGGGAGGGATAAATTAGGAGTCTGGGATTAACAGACACACAACTATATATAAAATAGATAAGCAACAAGGGTTTACTGTAGTATGCAGGGAACAATATTCAGTATCTTGTAATAACCTATAATGGAAAATAATCTGAATCACTGAATCATTTTGCTACACACCTAGAACTAATACAGTACTGTAAATCAACTATACTTCAGTAAAAACAAAAACACAGGCTCCCTTGCCCTCTGGCTCCTGGCTGGGTTTGATCAATAGGGAAGGTCCACAGGAGAGCAGAAGGAAGGAGCTATATTTCCCCTTCTGTGTAGTTTATTGCAGATGGTGGCATTTTGTGGGTTAAACAACAACAACAAAAACCAAAACCACGTCAGTACCCCAGCTGAAACAGCTAGCTTTAAAAGGTCCTGAAGTATTGTAGGGTGACTCTTCTTTGACACAACTGATGTGAGGCAGCCATAAAAGTGGGATCAAAACAATAGCAACGACAGGGCACTGTCTTGTTAGGTGAGATTTCAAGGGTTTTAGGTCTGTGATCAACCGAGTCTGATCAGAAAACAGGTGGCTCATTCAAACCCGGACCTTGGACAGGGCGTAGGGGAACAACCTGGGATGCTGCCTTGCCCTGGGCCTTGTGGCAGCCAAGCCCCTCCCACCCGATATATGATTTGCAAATATTTCCTCCCATTCAGTGGGATGCCTTTTCATTTTGTTGATGGTTTCCTTTGCTGTGGAGAAGCTTCTTAGTTCGATGGAATCCCACTTGCTTAGTGATCCTTTTAAAAATGTAAGTCAGATCAAGTCATCTCTGCTCAAAACCCTGCCATTCTCTCAGAAATGAGTATTTTAGGTCCTTTTTCTGCCCTGCAGTACCCTATACAACCTGTCTCTCACTCCACTGCCATATTTTTTGGCTTCATTCTGCATCACTCTTCTCTGTGTTTGCTCCGCTCTAGCCTCAGGGGCATCTTTGCTGTTTCTCAAACATGCCAAGTTCACTCCCACCTGAGGGCTTTTGCTCCTGCAGTTTCCTTCACCTGAAATGCCACCTCGTGGGTCTTCGCACGACTGAGTCCTGCTCGGCTGTAACTGCTCCAGGCAGCCTTTGCCCACCACCATCTCTTAAGCAGCCCTCTCTTGTCTCTAGCTCTCTCCCTCCCCTTAATTTTTCTTCATAGCGCTTATTACCCCAAAATATATTATAGTTATTTGTTTGGCCCACCTCCTCCCACAAGAATGCATGGTCCCGAGAGCAAGGACCTCATCTGTTCGGGACATCCCTCATCTCCACTGCCTAGAACAGTGGAAGGCATACAGTCAGCACGCACTAAATCTTTGCTGAATAAATGATTTGGCCGGGAAAAATAAAAAGAACTGCCGGCCTGCATTCTTATTAACTGAAGCTAAATTTCCAGTGATCAAGAAGATGTTCAGTGGCCATCTTTAGAGATGCTATAGAAAGGGATTTTGTAAATTAAATGATGAGTTCATGGAATAACCTGCCATCCTACCTGAGGATTTTCCATACTGCACATCAAAAGCAGCAGAGTAGACAGTGAATGATAATTTTAAAATGAATAAATGTAAAAGACTGTTTAAACCAGGTGGCAAAGATTTTATGTCAAGCACCAAAGAGTAAGTAACTTACACTCTGCAGCTCATAGAACCTCTGTCACAACTACTCAGCCCTGCTGCTGCAGGACGGGAACCGCCAGACACGATACAGCAGTGAATGCGCGTAGCTGTGTTCCAACAAAGCTTTACTGGAGGACACTGCAATATGTATAGTTTTCAAGTGTCACAAAATATTATTATTCTCTTAATTTTTTTTCAATCATTTAAAAATGTAGAAACCATTCTAGGTTGGTGAGCCATATAAAAACAGGCAGCAGGCTAGATTCTGCCTCTGAGCTGCAGTTTTCTGACCCCTGATTTAAATCCTTTCTAAGTGGTTTTTTTTTTTTTGGATGAAATACATTCTGGTCCATGAATCTGTCGGATAGTCTATAATTAATTAAGCATGGAATAACTGCTTTTGTTAAAGAATAATAAGCTGGATAAACAGTTTATTTAGGTAAATAAACATTACTAATTCACTCTTCCAGGACCGTCTCCCCAGCCAGACTTTGGTCATCTTCAGACATAAGCTCTGTTCCCATCGTTTTCCTCACCCAGGTATTTTAGCTTTTCCCATCCTAATGGAGAAATTTCAGTCCAGTCTTCCTTCCTTTACAGCAAGGGGAACTGTAATAAAACATCAGGATAGCGGGGAAGGTGGCTTCCCAGGCTTTGCAGCACAGCGGATTCCAGGACAATGTTTTATGATTAAGTGTACACTGTGTTGCTTACACTTTGCTCTCAGTACTTTCAAACACACCCTGTTTGTGGGCCTCGGAATGAGAACTATTTTGATTGCAGGTGCTGCTGGAACTCAGGGTCATCTGCCCCCATGAGCCACAGAAATCTGCTGGAAAAACCAGGCTGGGAGATGGCACAGCCTCAACATTTTATTTCATAACGTAAAGCAGAAGATTGTAACTTTCTCTCAGTTATGATGATAGTCTCATCTCTCTTACACAACAGCAATACCTGAAAATAAGGAATCTGAAGAAGCACCCTTCATGGTATCACTCAGGAAAGTCAACCGAACACAGGCAAGAGGTGCGTTAACATCACACACACTTATTTGACGCTGGACACACAGCAGAGAACAGAAACACTTCACTATAGGTCTCCGGACACTCTCAACATCCTGAAGCTGGGTGTCCCAGAAACTCGATCAAAAAGAATCCAACAGAAAAGTTCTCAACATTCACGCCCTCCATGCTCTCTAAGCCTAGGAGACATGGAACAAAACCACAATTTATTATAATCTAATTAATTACAGACTCCACTTGCCCTGCCCACTGAGAAAGCAGATCTACTAGAACGTGAAATGAAACATTTGAAAGTTTTTTTGAAACACCTCTGGTGCTCTACTGCTTGAATTTCCCAGTAAATCAAATTCAAATAAACAGGCCAAAGGAAGTCCATGGTTTTCCAACTTCTCCCGTAAGTAACACAGCCTACAGATTTACTGTGAAAACCAGGGATTAAATTAAGCTTCACTTAAATTTCAAGATGCCAGAGACAGTCTCCTGAGAAAGCAGACTTGGCTTGAAACCCTGATATCTCACACACGCGGTCCAATTTACACCAAAGACAGCCGTCCACAAAGCCGCCCTGTCTCGCCAGGCATCTCCTCCATTCTGTTCTGAGCTTGGACTATACACATCAATGAAAGTTGAGACATTAAATATGGCAAGTTGTGAGATAAGGGCCTCCGCTTCATCTCACACTCTTAATTGAGTTTCTGAGGGAAATGGAAATGCTGACAAGGCATGCAGCCGCAGACAAAAATCATCACCAGTGAATGAAGATCCCAAGGAATCATCACTGCGGCTGCCTGGCAATCCTGCCAGCCTTCAAACAGGGATACCCAGGGCACCGGGGAATCACCCTCCTCCAGACATTCAGGGGGCCTGGGATGCTAAAGCCAGGTGATGGAGAAAGCCACTGGGAGGAAGCTTCCCTGAGCCACCCTGGCTTCTGCTTGTATGAGTTTGCGCGGGCCGCCCTAAGAAGCGACCACAGACCATGTGGCTTACACAGCAGAGACCCATGAGCCCAAGACGGAG